GACGTTTTTCTTTTGGATTCTTTCACATGTGCAACATGAAGAAATCATGTGGCTTTTCCCCCTTTTTATTAACAAAATCATTGTTTAAAGAAATAGCTGGATGGACTCCTTTCACACATCACTATGGAGCCAGCAACTACTTTTCTATGTTGCTCTTCTCATCCCAAATTAGAGTTTACAGGGAATAGTCTTCATTTGCTTGTAAATAAAATACGAATCTCAAAGTTGTCATGTTATTTCCCAAGTTTGAGTTGCCTCCAAAGAATAAGCAAAATTAAGTTTCTGGTCTCAAAGGTATAGCCAGTCCACACACTGGGATTTCCCCTCTGTCACACTTGCAAGTTGCTAGTTACTTATGAAGGAATATTTCCATACTAGGTTTCTTGTGGTCATCCCCTCTCCCCACTGATGAGAAAAACACATTTTCGGCCTTCAGAAAGGGGCTTTCCGTGAAGTTTCACAGTTACTGGTTATAACAAAAACCTCAGGTGTGAGAAACAACATCACTACTAAAGTTGCTGTTCCGGCTTAACCAACAGCTATTCAAAGCAAGGTTCCCCTGAGATCCAGCATTTAACTAAGGTGACTTTTTCTCTGTTAATTTAGTTCAGTTTTCTAGCCCTTCGGATTGAATCTTGAGCCTCTTGTGCTATTCTCATCAAAGAGAAGCACAAACAAAATGGTGTTTCAGTGGCTGATACATCTACGTTATTCCTGCTGACCACCCACAGTGATGCCACTTTTTTAGTATGATGTTTACTGCGTGGTAAGTGTAACAGGCTGCTTGCAGAGGGGACGGTGTAGTTCAGTGGACAATGTACTGAGCTGGGAGTTTAGGAGTTTATGTTAAAATTTTCACTTTGTGCCAAAGCCGGTTTGGCTCAGTGGACAGAGCGTCGGCCTGCGGACTGAAGGGTCGCAGGTTCGATTCCGGTCAAGGGCATGTACGTGGGTTGTGGGCACATCCCCAGTGGGGGATGTGCAGGAGGCAGCTGATCGATGTTTCTAACTATCTCTCTCCCTTCCTCTCTGTAGAAAATCAATAAAATATATTTTAAAAAATTTTTTCACTTTGTTCTACCCCTAGCATCTTAGGCTTGAGCAAGTCTCTCTTCTGAATTCTCAGGGTGTTTTTAATTGTGGAATTATTACAGGCATTTCATTTTCATAATCTGTTGAGCAAAGATGTCCTTTTCATAAGATTTATATGCATTCCCCCTGAATTATTTTATAGCATTACGTAGACTTAACTTTTTATGAGCTCAGGTGTTTTTAAAACTGCCCCAGATGCCTATAAACCATTTGATTGCTGAGCTCTTCATCACTGAGTTGATTTTAACATAATTTGTGAAGAAACAGCTGTACTTAATGATTTATCAAGTGTATTGTGCCTCAAACCATTTAATAACCAGAATTTTTTAACTACTCATACAAAGGGAGAAAAACACCATCACCACCTTTTGAAAAACATGTCTAACTAGATAATATTTGTTGGGAGTCAGCAGGATTACAGCATTTGCTTTTTTAAGCACCACTGTTTCAGAACTTTTGATCCTTCAAGAAATTTGAACTGTAGTTACCTAGTTTTTTCAACCTTCTTCAACTTCAAACACAATAACAGGAGTTATAATTTATTATGTTAAAGGAGGAAAAGAGACTGAATTCTAACAATTTCCCAATCATAGCAAAGTTTGGTTCATTGTTTTTAGACCTTTGTCATGCAAGCAGCATCGAAGAATTAGACCTCGCAAGTGAAACTAGACTACCAGCTTCCTTCCTTTTCGTCACCAGGATGTTCAATGAAGTGGCTTGCCCTCAGCTCTGCACAGCCCAGGATTTTTGCAGATACTGAAATCATGCTTTTTTTCCTATTTATACCTTTGTTTTATCTTTTTTATTTTTTAATTGATTTTAGTGAGAAGAAGGGGGAGGCACACCCCCTGACCAGGTATGGAACCTGCAACCTGGGTATGTGCCCTGATGGGGAATTGAACCTGCAACTCTTTGGTGTATGGGACAATGCTCCGACCAACTGAACCACACCAGCCAGGGCCTGTTTTATCTTTTAATAGTTTCTTCCAATAGGGATTCCCATGAGACTGCTTTCAAGGAAGACAAATGAGGAAGATCTACCGAAACCCCTTTCCTGGCCATCTGTATTCTGATATACTTGAGTATAGCAGCGTATCTCTTACACCTCCAGCTGGTCTCTCCCTTTCCTTGGCCTTTGATCTTACATTGCAAGCTCTTAGCTAAGTTTAAACCACACTGTCTGCTTCCCTCCCCAAGTCTGATAAACTCCCAAAAGGCCTAACAATAGCCAGATACCCTTATACTGTCTATTATGGAAGGTTCCTCAGGGAAGCCGTGTCAACGTGAACCCCACAGGTATTGCACAGAGGTGAAGACAGGAAAATGGTCTACAAGTGTTGGCTGGCAGTCCCAGGCAGAGGGCAGTGCAGACAGCAGAGGGCGTAGGCCAGCAGGCAGAGTGGATACACCTACTGTGAGCAGTTTCCAACCTCTTGTCTCAGATTCACACATGACATTCATGGTGGCACTGCACAGCTCAAGAAATGGATCCCAGGAATTGTACCTGGCAAGAAAATAGGAGAGGCAATTAATGAGCAGTCCCCCACCCCTTGACTCCCCCCCGAAAAAAGAAATTATACATCCATACGTGTGTGTGTCTGTGTGTCTGTGGGGCATTTTCTCACCTAAGCCATACTAAAAAAGATAAACATCCAATTTCCTTTCTCATCAGGAGCCAGCGTTCCCCATGAGGTACAAATAAGGCATTTTGGTTGTAGATGTTGCAGGCTGATGCACTAATGCTGAACCAACCTTCCAGCTTGAAGCTAACCAACCCTGCTCATAATCAAGGAAAGAGCGACAGGAAAGAGTCTAACTCCTACATAACCTAGGAGTTAATGTGAGCTGAGCAGGAATGTCATTGGTGATACAATGCACGTGTGTTGTACCAATGCAAGAACTAACAGTGACACAATCTGTTAGGACTAGGTTAAACCTGGGAGAGGTCAAGTTTTTGCCAATGAGACTGAACATGATCATCTTAATTTAAACCTAGGTTGTAACCTACTAGGTCTTGATATGAATTTAGTGAGTTATAACCAGCATTTAAAATTGGAATAGCCCCTGGCCAGGTGGCTCTGCTGATTGGAGTATTGTCCCATACATCAAAAGATTGCAGGTCAGGGCACATATTTAGGTTATAGGTTTAATCCCTGGTTGGGGCACATATGGGAGGCAACTGATGGATGCTTCTCCTCTCTCCTCTCTTCTCTCTCTCTCATCAAGAAAAACATAGTCTTGACCAGCATAGCTTGATGGTTAGAGTGTTGGCTTGTGCACCAGAGGGTAGCGGGTTTGATTCTGGTCAAGGGCACATACGTGGGTTGCAAGTTCCATCTCCAGCCTTAGTTGGGGCAGGTGCAGGAGGCAACCAATTGATGTGTCTTTCTTACATCAATGTTTCTCTCTCCCTCCTCCCTTCCACTCTCTCTAAAAATCAATGGAAAAAATATTCTCGGGTGAGGATTAAAATACATAATTAAAAATTGGTATAGAATATAGAGTACATTATATAAAATGTATACATGTATGTATAAAATATATTTATCGGTAGCTGTTCAGAAACATTCAAAAAACTGCCTTTGTAGTAAATTGTTATATGCTATTACAAATAATAAAGAAAAGTATATGTCCATTCCCCATCTTTTACCTCACCCCCTGAAAAATCACCTGTGCCCTGGATGGGGTTAGAATTTGTGGTTCTCTGTGCTTGGAACATGCTTGCCCCAGGTAGCTGCAGGGTCCTGCCCTCACAATCCTCAGATCTCTGCTCAACTTTCACCTTCCCTGACTACCTCTTTCAAATAGCACTTCCTGCCCTGGCCAGTGTGGCTCAGTTGGTTGGGTGTCATCCCATGCACCAAAGCGTTGCCAGTTCGATTCACAATCAGGGCATATGCTTGGGTTGCTGGATTGATCCCTGGTATGGTGCATGCAGGAGGCAGCCAATGGTGTTTCCCTCTCTGCTGTTTCTCTCTCTCTCCCCCTTACCATACCCTCAGTGAACTTGTACTTACAGTCACCCTTGTACAAATAAGAGTAATATCTGTGAAATGATGGTGACCAACTCAGATTAAGGAATTGTGTGCTGGATTACATAAATGTATTATAAGGGAAGATAATCAATAATTACCTCCAGCCTGGCTGGCGTGGATCAGTGGTTGAGCGTCAACCTATGAACCAGGAGGTCACGGTTTGATAACCAGTCAGGGCACATGCCTGGGTTGCAGGCTCGATCTCTCTCTCCCTCTGCCTTCTTCTCTGAAATCAATAAAAAATATATTTAAAAAAATAATAATTATTTCCAATCCAAGTAGTCAAACTTGCCTTAACTTTCTGCTATCTTCTCACAATGGAGGAAAACACTCTATTCTCTCAATATTAAATAAGTAAATAGCCCTAGCTGGTTTGGCTCAGTGAATAGACCATCTGCCTGTGGACTGAAAAGTCTTGGGTTTGATTCCAGTCAAGGGTGCATGCCTGAGTTGCAGGCTCGATCCCCAGAAGGGGGTATGCAGGAGGCAGCCAATCAATGATTCTCATCATTGATGTTTCTATCTCTCTTGTCCCCTATCCCATCCTCTCTGAGATCAATAAAAATATATTCTAGAAAAAAGAAGTTGGGTGATGTGGGGCCCAAAGGGAAGCCCTTGAGGACAGGTAACACTGTGAGCTGCCTTGAATGAGGAGAAGGCATGCATGGGGCAGACCGCAGGCAGTCACCTCAGCACCATGCTAAGAGTGGCTGGAAAGGAAAGCCAGGGTGAGAATTCAGAGGCCTAGGGACTGGGCTGAGAAGTCCAGATTTCATCTTATGGGCTCTTGATGTATTATTACCTCATTTAAGCCATATAACTCCTCCCCAAAGGATTACAAAAAGGAAAACAAAACATCTCTCTATTCTACAGATAAGAAAGTTGAGATTGAAGATGTGAACAACTCCAACCATAAAGTAAGTGGTGGAACCAGGACTGAAGGTCTCCAAATACAAAACCTGTGCTTTCTCCGCTCCAGTTCACAGCATCCTCACTACCATCGCAACCAACCCAAAGGCAGGTGCTGTTGCCCAGTGCTCACCTGCTCTGAGCCAGGGCCCAGACAAGTTCAAGGTCCCTCTCCTCAACTCTCAGGAACCTGCAGAGGAATTAATCTTCCACCACAACCTACAATTTCATGGCTGAACCACCAAAGTTCCCCACCCAGGACAGCCAGCTCTCAACCCTCAGATCCCTTCTCCATATTGTTGGCCATTTGTTCTTCCTGGGACACCCACACTCCATCCTCTATCTCAAACCTGGCTAACTCCTTCTTGCACTTCCTACACACAGCTCTCATGTCACTTCCTCCCAGAAGCCATCCATAACACTCCTTCCTCTCCCTGTGTAATTAGGTGTTCCATCCCTTGTACTTCCAAACCCCTCATGTGCTCTACAACTTTCCATATTGGATCGTATGGTTCATTTTCCTCATAGCTGTAGAGCCACAGTGGATACTCAATAAAGGATTGTTGAATGAATGAATGAATGAAGTCTTCTTTTCTGCTCACCCTGTCTCCCTCCCCTGGCCCCGGGCCTTCCTCTCCAACACTCTGCACAGCCTCAGCCAGATCTCTGGTATCTTCCTTCTGACCAGCTCTGTCCATCTGATCTCCCTGTGGGGCTCTGCCCTTAAGAAGCAAAGCCAGATACAGATGACGTCCGGAACCAGAGGAAATTCCCAGGCCTCTCTCCCCGCCGTAGTCAGAGAGACAGTGAGAGTTAACAGTCATGCGGCCTGAGGAAGAGAAGAAAGCCTTGGCCTGGGGGAGGTCACCAGCACCCTCCTCTTTTGAGTCAATGGCTGCCTCTGACATCAGCAACAGCACTATGCCTCGGTCCTCCAGTGTCCCCACACCACCCCCTCCCCTCTCACCAGGGCCATAATTCTCCTCAGGATGGCAACAGCAGGGCCTTGAACCTTGAACATTATCTGCAGGGCCTGTCCCATAATTACTCCCTCCCACCGCCTCCACTGGGGGACACATGTGCACCAGGGCTCACGTGTACCAAGAAGGGAGGAGCAGCTGTCTCAGCAACCACCTGCACCTTCTCCTTCCAAGTCTACGAAAGGCAGAGCCCCCATCACCCCCCCCCCCCCACACACACACACAATGAACAACAGAGGCCAAGGCCTCTTCCTTCGGTCCTGTCTTCCCTTTGGGGCTCTTTGAGGGCTCAGAGCAAAGCCCATAGGCAGGTTTCCTAATTCAGAAGACATACTTACACCCCCAGCTGCTTCCTCAATTGATCACCCAATAGAGAAGGAGCAAGCACCTGCTCTGTGCCCTGCTTGAAGCTGAGTGCTGGGGGGTGAGGGAGCTGGGTGGGGGCACCTGCCTCAGGGACAACAGTCCCACAGAAGGAACAAGTGAGCACACACAAACCATTCCACAAATCAGGACGGAGAGATGACGCTCTAGGGGTGCTGACAGGAAGGGTGTGAGTCAAAGGAACAAGTCATTCCAGAAGGAAGGCTACACAGAGGCGGGGCCCACCGTGGGCCTGAGGAAGGGGCCAGGGGCCTGGGGGCAGCCACTGCTGGCCCCTTCCCACTGCTTCACCAGGGATTGAAATGGGGGGGTGAGGGCTCCAGGCACCAGGCCTGGCTTTGAGCAGGTCCTGTCTCCTTCATCCTTTCTAGAGGGAGGGAAACAGTGGGAGGTGGTGGGGACCTGCTACTGCTCCCTGATTTTTAGGCCTTCCCTCCGCCTCCAGGCAGTGGTGACAGGGCAGGGAACTCTCACTGGAGGAAGGCCTGGGCCAGCGGCAAATTGGTGTGATTCTCTTGGCCTCCCAATATTGTTGCCAGGTGAATCAGGCTTAAAAGCAATTTCAAGGCCAACCTTAAAGGGAAAAGATTTCATCAGAGAGCAGCATGCAGGCTGGGCGGGTATGCGGCCCCCCCACCCCTACCCCCACCCCGTGGTGGAGTATGGAGAACAGCAGAGAGACTCTACTGCCTCATGAGTCTCAATTAGAGCACAGGCCCCCAGAGTGCAGACTGTAGTGAGCACCCCAGGGCCCTGTCTTCTCAGCCTTTCAGCTCATGCCAGGCACTTGGGGGCAGCCTGTCCTGCCTGGCTGCTTCCCTACAACCAGAGAACTTACCAAGCAGAGAACTCCGCCTCCGGACCTGATTAATCCATGCGCTGGGGGTTGGGCATGGAGTGTGGGTAAGGGTGTAGGGTACGCCAGGCCCAGGTCCCTCTCCTTGTGTCTCTGGCCAGTTATACCCTGTTTGCATCTTATGGGGACACAGCCCTGACGTATCATCCTTGTGCCAGCACAAACCCCTAAGAAGGGGGAACTATCTCTGACTAGGGCTTTGGTGACGTTGTTTATACAAATGGCTGAATAAATAATTGAGCAGCTGAACATACGAGTGTCTGGGGTCTGCTGGGAGCTGTGAGAAGATGGACTAAAGGTGAGATTTGTGTTGTTGTCCCAGCCCTGCCACTCTCTGGGGCTTTGGGCTCCTCATCCAGGGTCTCGACGGCCTCTACCAGCTTCGACCGCTAAGTTCTTAGCGGATACCTGGGCACTGAGGCGGCGTCTTCCTAGGCCCCGTGTGCAGTTCACAGAGCACCTGCAGAGCAATCACCTGGGAATGTTTTTAAACACAGCTTTCAAAGCCTCAATTCTAGACCCTTTAAGTCTGGAGTTTCTGAGGATGAGGGCTAGAAAACCTGTTTCAAACAGCCCCTCCCGCCCCCTCCACTCCCCCACCCCCATAGGATGGTGTCTGCTTTCTTCTAGACGGCCTTTGCCTCACTGCTTCCTCTCTCCCCTCCATCCACCCAGTCTGGCTCCAGCCTTTTCCTCCTTTCTTGCCCTGTTCCACCCCCTCCTCTCCCCACAAATGGCCAAAGCAGCAGTGTGAAGCAATCCCTCTCTCCTTGACCCCTTCCTGTGAGCAGTGAGTGATGGTTATTTTTTAATCTCCTGCGATTAACCGCAGCCTTCAGCTGGGAGCATTTAAGACACAGAACACAGGGTCACAGCCACAGCTGCGGGACCCAGAGGCAGACCTTGACGGGCTCGGGAAGGACGGAAGGAACCGCCTTTGAGAGCAGAGGCAACAGCAGCCGCAGCAGCTACACCACCACGACCAGCCGCCAGGAAACAATGCTCCAGGCAACGTTTAAGCTATGTGCTGGGAGCTCCTACCGACACGTGCGCAACATGAAGGGTGAGCTCCCTGGGGGAGAGGGCGCTCGTGGTGGTGACCAGGACTCTCAGGCACCTGGCTTAGTGGGGGAAACACTGGACTGGGGGCAACCCACTCAGATTCCGATCCCAGCTGCGCCTCTTATTGGGCGATCTTGTCCCTTGCGGACCTCACTTTTCCCACTGGAAGAACTGGGCTGGAGATCAAGATGCCTTTGACCCTTCTGGGTTCTGTACTGTCTGGTCTCCCCTCCAGGGCTCCAATCTCCCTTGAACTCTTCCTGACTCTGCCTCCCTCTAGGATTGGTCCCAAGGGTAGCAGGAAGGACTAGCCACAGTGGTAGAGGTAGGACTAAGCCCGGACTCCAATGAGCCAGGCTGGCAAGCCTAAGACACGGGCAGGGAAGAAGAGGTGGGTGGGGAGAAGGAAAAGAAAGGGGAGTAAGGCAGCAGAAGAGCAAAGACCCAGCTGCTGGCAGCTACACAGACCCTCAGGGACTGGTGTCTTCAATTCTGCTGTGGCAGGATTTTTCTGGTGTGAACAAAGCTTCTCTCTTTCAAGAGGGAAACTCTGGTGCGGCTCCTGCCTCCAGGCGGGACCAGGCAAGCCAGCCTAGATGGGAGGCAGATTTCTGGGCCCTGAAGGCAGCCTGGTGCAGTGTAGGGAGCCCTGGACTGGGAGTTGACCTGGCTCTAGTTCAGGTCCCTGCTAGGAATCTGTATGTTCCTGATCAAGTCACTTCCCTCTCCCAGCCAGTTTCCTCATCTGCAACAAGAGAAGAGGTGGAAGGGGCATATCCAGGCAACAGTTTCCTTCCCTTCCTGCAGGGTTGAGGCACCAGGCTGTGCTGGCCATTGGCCAGGAGCTGAACCGGAGGGCCCTGGGGGGCCCGACCCCCAGCGCATGGATTAATCAGGTCCGGAGGCGGAGTTCTCTGCTTGGTAAGTGCTGAGGCTTCCGGGCTTCTGCCAGTGGCACGAGGCTCCCAGGTGCAAACACTGTGCATGTGGCCCTTGTCCCCGCCACCCCCGGGTCCTCTCCCTGTCACCTGCAGTGTCTAACTTGACCTGCAGGCTGAATCCTATGGCTTTTGGTCTTGGCTCTTCAGAGGAAAGAGCAGGTCCAGAGATCAAAGGGAGGAAAGCTGGTGGGAGGCTAGGGGAGCGGTAGGAAGCTTGGTCTCTCCTTGGCTGTGTGTCCAGGTTCCCGGCTGGAAGACACTCTCTATAGCGACCAGGAGCTGGCCTATATCAACCAAGGAGAGGAGGCCATGCAGAAGGCCCTGGGCATCCTCAGCAGCCAGGAGGGCTGGAAGAAGGAGAACCAGCAGGTGAGGGAGTGTGTGGAGGAACAAAGCCAGCTGGGGGTCCCTGCTCTTCAGAATTCCTGCCTTGTGCAGTGTCACTGGGTGACAAGTAGCTTTGAGAATTCTCCTTCCCCAGGAACATATCAAGTATTCCCTCCCCCCTCAAAGACATCCTGTAGACGGGCATTTGAGAAACACTGTTCCTATATCCTGCCCTCCAAATACACTGTACACCTATTCAGCAGGGACCCTGGGCTAGAAGTTCCAGTGCCAAGGAAGCCTGCTGACAGCTGAGCTTGCAGGGTGATCTGGACTCACCTGCGAGTGGGCTGGACTAGAACACAGGTGGCCCATGCCTTCTGGGCTCTCTGCTCCTGAGCACTGCGCCTTCACTGGGAACCAATAATGAGGCCCATGTTAGAGGCCAGTGGATCTATTGAGACTTTGGTTTTATCTTCACTGAAAGCTTACATGCTGCCCATTGCCCAAAGTTTAGGTCAGTGGTTCTCAACTTTCCCTATGCCGCGACCCTTCAATACAGTTCCTCATGTTGTGGTGACCCTCAACCATAAAATTATTTTCGTTGCTACTTCATAACTGTAATTTTGCTACTGTTATGAATCGTCATGTAAGTATCTGATATGCAGGATGTATTTTCATTGTTGCAAATTGAACATAATTAAAGCATAGTGATTAATCACAAAAACAATATGTAATTATATGTGTTTTCCGATGGTCTTAGGCAACCCCTGTGAAAGGGTCGTTCGATCCCCCAAAGGGGTCGCGACCCACAGGTTGAGAACTGCTGGTTTAGGTAAAAGCTTTCCTTCTCCAAATTAAGACTACTAGATTGGGAGTCAAGAAATCTGGGATTTAGGCCCAGCACTGCCCTTGGCTAAGGGTCTCTGGGCAAGTCACTGACCTTCTCTGGCCCTACATCTTTCTTGGATGAGGAACTGGGCTAAAAAAATCTTTAAAATCCCACCCACCATCTGTGTGTGTGTAACT